CCAGAGACAATCAAGATCAGCTGGAATCCAGAGCCCAGACAAAAAAGCTAAGAGTTTCTAAAGAGACTGAGAAAGCTGCCAAACCTGGCAGTGGTCCCAGCCAGATCCAGCATCGAGGCAGCTTGATCTGTTATCCAAACCAAAGCGTTTGAAGACACTAATCTCAAATCAGATCCAAAGCAACAACAGCCTAGCTATTCTGACATTTCAATGGGGCCTAGAATTACTATTAACAAAAAGAATGTATTTCTTTCCATTGTTTGTTCAATGTTGTAAACCACTACTATGTCAATTTAGGAAATTTAATAGACTTAAAAACTTGAAGATGTTGTGTCCTTATGTCAGAAACAGCAAGTGGTGGGAAGCAAGGAAGCAGTGTTAGGCCTGGCAGATAACACTGAAAGAGGAATCCAGAGAGATGTAAGTGGTGGGAGCACGTGGATCTAATTTCTCAGACTTGACAGGGGGGAAAAAATAGTGGTGGACTGAAGATAAAGTCAACCAGGAGTAGTCTATATCCCAATAAATAGTGAAGAAGATGCCATATGGCCCCAGGAGAAAGCCTGGGGAAACCAGGGTGAGGTTTAGGAGCTGATTGCCCGGGCCTGGAGCTGCCACCTTTCCTAACTTCTCACCTAAGTCCTAGATTCTCAGTGTGGTTTAGCATTTCCCTGATAGAGACATTCAACAAAATGTAAAACCACTGACAGAGACAGGTGTTTTGTAAGAGGAATTGATAACCTCATTAATTTCTTCAGTAAACACAAACTCTATAGGAATGCCTCAATTAATATATTGAGAAATTATAGCACTTGCCTAAAGTCTCTTACCTGGCAGACACATCCATCAGAATTCACAAATGTCTCAGACAAGTAGCAATTTCACAATAATTAACATCTTAGAAGCTGGCCTGATTCTTCCCTAATTTATTACAAGTAAAAACATTTATCTTTAAAACAACAACAACAACACTAAGTTGTCTTGAACTCCAAAGCATATTAGGACCATAAACATGAGAGTTGGTCTTTAGCTATAGATAGACAGTGTTTGGGCTGTTTGTGAGTGCTGTGGTAAATATTTGAAAACCAGCTCTCAAGCAAGGCAGAAAAATGTGTGTGTGTGTGTGTGTGTGTGTGTAGTAGAATTTCACTGATATAAAGGAGGTGCAGCACACATATGAATAATAATAAAATACACAATAATCTTGTGTAAATTGCCTGTCTGTGCCAGTTGATTCTCATAGAATGCTTCTGCTGATTTTCACCAAACTCCTTCCTTTATCTGTAGCCAACTTATAGTGGCAACTGGCAAACAAGCACAGTTCCAGTGTCCATGATGAACATCCATCATCTTTTATGCTAATAAGCAAGACAAAAGCAAAACAATGAAGACACGTGTCAGACTTCACTCACCTGTCAATAATGTCAGTTAACTCCTTTGTTTACCTGAATAATAACAGTTTCTGAATACCAGAAGAATATTTCCTCAATTACTTGTGCTATTCACATTTTAACAGCTATTATGGACTGAATATTTGTATCCTCCCCAAATTCACATGTAATGCTCACCTCCCAATGTCATGATATTAGGACGTGGGGCCTTTGAGTGGTAAATAGATCATGAGGGCAGAGCCAGTTTGAATGGGATTTAGTGTGCTTATAAAGAAAGACAGGACAAAGATCATCTGTCTCCGCCAGGTGAAAATGCAGTGAGAAGGCAGCCATCTACAAGCCAAGAAGAGGGCCCTCAGCAAATACCAAATCTGCAGCACTTTGATCCCAGCCTTCCAAGCCTCTACAACTTTGAGAAATAAATGCAGTTGGCTAAGCCACCCAGTCTATGGTGATTTCTTGTAGCAGCCAAGGTGACTAAGGCAACTAATGGCCATCATACACTTTTAAATTGACTGACTGCATTAGTAACATTTTCTTCATCACTTTTTTAAGTCTAGAGACAATCAATCACCAATAACTTAACCCTGATTTGTAGCCTTTGCTGATTCATCTGGGGTAAATACTACCAGTCACTACATGCAGAGTTGGGAAGAGGTGCACAATAGCATATCATTTTATAGTATTGCTACCCTCCAGGCACAGTAGATGTAAAAAAACCTCAAGAGCATACACTACAACAAAATGGAATAAAATAAGTAGGAAGTGATGAAGTTCGAGTTTTTATTACCTTCATTTTTAATATGTATTTAAGCATATGTTTCTATAATTTAATTTTTACTAACAGCTATATATAACAACCAGGTCACAAAATTCCTGATAACTAACTCTTATGAGTAGACAAGAGGTCACTCCAATGTCTTCATAAATTTCAACTACCAATTACATTGTTGCTCTTATAACTAAAGTTGACAGTGTCACTGAGTCTATTTTCTAGACTATAACAAATTTATCTAGGTTTTACATAGAGATGTTAAAATCTAGTTCTAACTACAATAAATATAAAATTCTGGTTTATTAAAATAGCAGCAAGAGTTCCATAATTCCATATTTTTATAAATGTATCCTAGGAATATTTCATAACATTAAAAATATCACATAACTAACCCTAATATACCTAGGTAACTGTATAAACTTATAAGTTAAGGGCCTCTAGAAAACCAACATTTAACCATCTGTTCATTTGTTAAGAGTGTACCACCCTGGAAGAACATGAAATTCATTACTATAAAATTTCTCAAAGCCAAATCTTAAATCTCACCTCTGGATATTTAAAAGGAGCTAAGTAGCACAGTGGTCAATAATAACATGTTTAAAATGCTCTCCTTGAATTCCATGCTTTAGGGTAAGTGGAAAGCCAGAAAGGAAAAGAACTCCCTGTCCTTTCTATTTGCTTTCTGCCTAGTTATATAATCCATCACAAGAGAAAAGGTGAGTGACAAGAGTAATTTCAACTTTCCTCTGTAGTACAAAGATCTACTGATAGGATAAAAGATTGAGTGATGAGTGATATCAGCTCATTAGTTACCACTCCCAAAGCGCAAGATGCTGGCCTCCAAGACCCATCTGTTCCTAATTCTGCTCTGCCTGCACATCTATGAAAATGAAGATCACACCACACTGGTAGAAGGCACCCTCTCTCTGTCATACCTGTTTTCCTCTTCTCTTTGCAAATATATCAATCCTAGAGGCCTGGTGCACAACACTCGTGCACTGAGGGTTGGGAAGCGGAAGGGGTGATCCCTCAGCCTGGCCTGTGTCCTCTCACAGTCTGGGGCCCCTGAGAGGCTTCCGCCACTGCCACTGCGCTTGTGAGCCCAGCTTCTGGGCTGAGTGGTGCTCCCCCTGTGGGAGCGCACTGACCACCAGGGGGCAGCTCCTGCATTGAGCATCATCCCCCTGGTGGTCAGTGCACATTATAGCGACCGCTTGTTTCGCCATTCAGTCTGTTTGCATATTAGCCTTTTATTATATAGGATTATATAGAATTCTTGCTTCTTAATAAAATAAATGTCTAAATCATGGAATTTCATTTTATGCCAGAGAAAAAATAATAGATAAAGTATGAAAGACAGAATTTTATTTTAATTGCCACAATTTTAAAAATACGGGGTGCTTTTAAAATGAAATATAGGTGACATCAGTTATAATAATCTCTTAATCCCATAACATTTCCAGCCAATAAACAATGCCGCTCTTCAAAAACACAATTTTAAAAAACCAAAACATTCCCAGTCATCAGTAACATTCCAGGTAATGGCAGGGCCATCAAATTGTAGTAAGAATGTTCTAGATTATCTTATTTCTTTTGTGACTGTTTTTTTTTTTTATAAGCAGTATTTTTCTTTAAATTACTTATTTATAACTGATTTTTTTAAAAAAAATATCTAAGCCATTTAATAAAACTGAACTTCTTATTTGGTTCTGTTTAAGAACTAAACACTCATGAAAAACTACAAGGTTGGAATGGTTAAAAAATAAAGCTAATAGTAAGCTTTCTTCCAGACTACCATTCATTTTAATATTTACAATAACAGAATGATTCAAAGGTTTGCTAATGGAAAGCTTTCTTCCAGACTAGCATTCATTTTAATATTCAGACAGAAATACTAAAATTTCCAGAAAACAGAGTGGCTGAGTTAGAATTCAGTTTATACAATTCACTTAGCCCACCTTTTCCGTGACAGCATGTTTTATATTATTCTGAAAATACAGCTGAGGGCAGTGAATTAGAAGCTCCCTTATCTACTCATTTCTCTTAATAATAAAAACGACTGGGGGAGAAGGGGTGGGAGAGACATACTTGTACCAGCTCAATGCTCAGCAACTCTCCCCACCATGCCTTCATTTCCCAGTACTCCATCCAAATTAACTTCTCCCTTCTCAGATTGTATCCAGTCATGACATTTATATGAAACAGACAATGACACAGAAGACAGACCCTTTACAGAAAGCTCTGGTGAATGCAATAGAATATAAATAAGACAGTCTTTCATATTGCTATATAATGAGGTTTAATGCCCCACCTGGAATCATTATTCTTTAGCTATCATTATCACATAACAAAAGAACAGATTGTGTGTTTAAGTAGAAAAATAATAGTGAGCCTTCTTTTGATGATCATTTACCGCTGGATACCAGCTCACATACCAAGCAAATACTCCTCTATAGGAGATCTCAGAGCCTTCCTAATTCTGACAAACTACCATGTGGAAAGCATACTCCTTGATGTCCTCAATAAGCTACACCTTCGTGGATTCATCTCAGTTGTTTCATCACAACATTATTGCCAAACCATCCCAGTCCATCAGCATACATGTATATGGAGCAAGCAAGGCATTTTGGCATTTGTAGCCTACCATAGACACTGAAATCCTTCCAACAGGCCCGCAAACCTGCCCAACTGGACAAAAAGTCATTATGAAATGGCCGTGGCATATGAACTTGAGCATGAAGAAATATGGAGAGGGAGTTTAAACAAAAGATGAGAAGCGATGGAGTAAAGGTGAGACCGGTAAAGAGAGCAGTGGACAGTCGGCCCTGCATTACCATTATCAGGGCTGGCAAACATTCTACTTGCACTGGAGACCGTCTTCCCAATGTCAGCCAGGGACCGGAGGTTGGACTTCTTGGTTTGATGCCGATGCTTCCGGAGCAAAGTGTAGGTCACCTTATCCTTAAGGTCAGGCTTCAAAAGGCCCGTCTCAATCTGATGGTCAACAATCATATCTGATACAAAAACAAAGCAAAACAAAAACAAAGCTCAGTCGCAAGACCACGAAGTCAATTTTTCACTCTAACTTTAAAGATGCCATCCTCAAATTGAATATCAATATACTATTCTCCAAATTTCAAACTTCCCACCTTATGAGAAGGGTAAAGATACAGGCACAGGAACATTGGTAATAATTAATAATTGGTATTAATTATTCCAGTATTAATTATATTTTTGGAGAGGAAAAATTCGTGTTCATTTTTTTTAATCCCACTTAATAGTAAATTCACATTAATCAATTCTTCTATGAGTAACAGCATAAATCAGCAATTTACATTTTTCAATTAAGGACAAAAAATATAAGATTAGAAAAGTTCATGTACTCTATCATAGCAAATGTGCCAGCAATATAAATGATATAAAAAACTTAGAGAATATGCAAAATTAAAAGTAGTGACATTATTGATGTTTTAAAAGATTTCCTCAAATTCTCCTGTAATGTTTTACTTCCTTTATAATAGAACTCAGTAAAGAAAAAAAAATGCCTTCCCATATCAGGTTATTTGAATACCAATTAATCCAATAAAAGCAATTAAACTACAAATTATGCCTTATTCTTATCTAAGAAGGGATGCCTATTCTTGTTTAGATCCAATATAACCCATTAGGCATTTTAAGGTATAACCTGACTACAATTTTCTGTGAAATGTTAATATCTTATTCTTACTACAAAAAAAGTTAAATTTTTTATTAGTTCCTTTTTTAGGAATGGTTTTCACTAGAAAAGATGACTGACTGTGTTTCATAGAAATTGCTCTGCTGAAGGACAAGTTTTACTCTAATCATAAATAAGATAGTGACTAAGGTGTACAGTATAGCATAGGAAATACAGTCAATAATATTGTGATAATTTTGTATGGTACCAACTAGGTTCTGGAAATATCAGGGGAAACACTTGGTTAGGTATATGATTGTCTAACCACTTTGCTGTATACCTAAAACTAATACAAAATATATTAGCGAATATAAACTGTAACTGGAAAAAGTAAAAAAAATTAAAATTTTCAAAAATACAAAACCCTTTCTCTCACAAGTCAACACAAATGTATCCTGGTGCACCCCATCCTAATGTCACATCACAACTCGACATTTCCTCTGTCCAAAATATGACTCAGCACAAAGCATCACAGAATCTGTGCAAGACATGCAATGGCAGGACGCTACCTCAGCATATGCGGGTAGAGCTTTTGTTCCTGCACAGAACCAGAACAATGAACCCCAGGCCCGCCTTTCCAGATATATGAGTGCATCTAGCACATATCAATATTTTCCTTGGGCAAAGTTCTCAGTTTACAAAAATGGAGAAGAAAACAAAACTCCATGCTACTCAGCTGCAAAAAGGAAGAAAATTTTACCCTATGTGACAGCATGCATGGAACCAGAGAACATTATGCTAAGTGAACTAAGCCAGTCAGAGAAAGACAAGTACCATATGATTTCACTCATATGTGGAATCTAATGAACAAACTGAACTAACAAGTAAAATAGAGACAGACTCCTATGTAGAGAACAGGCAGGCGGCTCTGGGGTGGGGGAAGGGGAAAGGGATTGAGCAAGCAAAAAAAAAAAAAAAAAAAAAAAAAACACAGAAAGAACTCATGGACACAGAAAGAACTCATGGACACAGACAAGTGTGGTGATGGCAGGGGGTGAGGGAGGAGGTGGAAGAGGGTATAGGAGGGATAAATGGTGATGGGGGAAAAAATAAATTAAAATAAAGGGTTGAGGAGAGAATGAACGAAAATTGACTGGAGCTGTTAGGATAAAAGCATCTCCCAAGCATTCCCAACCTTTTGTAAAGTTAGTAATATTCAAGGAGGTTTGCTGGGGCATGACCACACCCCTCAGCAGCTCTTCTTTACAAAGCAAGCACTCACATACCTGGCTTCGCGGTCTAGGACTAGAAACTAATGATTTACACAGTAAACAATCAACTCTTTGGGCGCCAAACAGAGGCAGAATCCAGATTTTCCACCACGTGCCTTACACGGATGCCATAAACACCACATCACGCCGGCCACTTGGTAGGGAACCTGGGCAAGGCTGGAAGAGTCTCTCCCACCAGAATGTTTGGTTTGACAATGCCCTTTTGCTCTGAATACCTTTAACTATGCAAACCATGCTCAACAAAACTCTCGAAGCTGGTTCTGAAATTACAACGAACCCTCTGCTCCACAGCCAAAGTAATTAGGTGCTACCCCACACAACTCCTCTACTTTCTCTTCAAGTCTTCTTCAATGTGGGAAGTCCAGTTCACAGTGGAACCACAAAAATAAACAAACTTCCCCAGCATTATCAAACTCCTACTCTAATTCCAGGGTTGTGGATTAAAGTGTTTCTTATCTACCCTTCCTGGCAGGGCCTCCCTCTATTCTTGCCCTCCCTTATAATCTCCAACCAAGCCTCCGTAGGCACAGCCAGCCCTCCACTACTCATGCCTGGAAATCACCAGTTCGCACAGGTTAGAACATCTGTGTGGCTTATGCCTGTCATTAAGTTCCCATAAACATGGCCCATGGTGCAGGGAACTCTTTAAGCATCAAATACAAACCCTTTCAAGGGAAGTGGGGGCAGTAACACCTCACAGCTACACTGAAATTAAGCCTTCGGTGTCAAAACCCCACAGACGTTACCAATTGGGAAAGAATGTGCCAACCCTGCATGGCAGCAAAGAGCGTCCAGTTCAACCTCCTGTTCCACAGGTGAGAAAAGACATAGCCCAATAAGAGGCAAAATACCCCAACATAAAACCAGGTTTTCTGATTCACAGTTTAGATTTTTTTTCCATATCACCCAATACTTTTCTTTATTTGAAAAGGAAGCTCTAAACCAAATATATATACATTGATTACATGCAGAGTTTCTGCAAACCAACAGGAAGATGGCCATGCAACAGGAAAAAAAAAAAAAAAAAAAAGCCAAAGGAGACATTCTTTTCGTTTTTTAAATATATACTTTTATTGATTTCAGAGAGTAAGGAAGAAGGAGAGACATAAACATCAATGATGAGAGAGAATCACTGATCGGCTGCCTCCTGAATGCCCCCCATTGGGGACTGAGCCCACAACCTAGGCATGTGCCCTGGACTGGAATCGAACCCAGGACCTTTCGGTCCGCAAGCCGATGCTCTATCCACTGAGCCAAACCATCTGGGGACAAAGGAGACATTCTTAAAGGAAATGCAAACACCCAAGATATTAGTTAACTCCAAGACTAACAGACAATTTGAACAAATTTTCACAATATAACCAGTTACGAGGTCTCTGTTAATCTATCAAAGTGGCAAAATTTAAAAGGTGAGTCCCCGGGGACAAGACGGAAGTGTGCAACAGGCAATTCCACATGCTGATGATGAGTGTAGTAACTAGTGCATTCTGTCCTGACGGCACCCACAGCCACATGACAAAACCCTTTTAAATGTTCAAGCCCTTTGTTGGAAATCTATAGTAAGGAAACAGTTTCATAAGAGGACAAAAATGGTTACTTCTTTTTACTTTTATCTTTTAAAGCTGAGGTCTGGGGACCCAGTCCTGAGTGATCTTTATTTATTATATATATATGAAGAAAGAAAGGGAGAGAGAGAATCATTAATTGGCAGCCACACTGGGGACAGAGCCTTCAACCCAGATATCATATATGCCCTGACTGGGAATCAAACTGTGACTTCCTGGATCATAGGTCTACCCTCAACCACTGAGCACACATACCAGCCAGGTCACTTCTTTTCTTTACAATAAAATTTTACGGGCAATACAATGCCCAATAATAGATTTTTTAAAGTATTTTACAATTATTAAAATGATGGTTATATTTCTACTTAATGAAGTGGAAAGAAAATTTGTATTATGTTTTTGAGTTTAGAAAAAAGCAGATTAAAGTGTAATAATATGATCCTGTTTTGTAAAATAAATTTCATATCTGGAAACAGATGTACAGAAAAATTGCAGGAGGACAGCTCTGCAGGATCAGATTTGTGATATTTTAATTTTTGTGATACATTTTTCTGCATTATTTAAAAATGAAGATAGATTTATGACAAAACAAATATATTACTATTCTGAAAATATAAAAGGTGTAAAAAGCTAAAAAAATGACTAACACATCTGCTCACAACCATAGCTCAGAAACGCCTTTAAATATAAAAATGCGAACTCTAAAAATAGAACTACATTTTTATAATCCATATCCCATCATAATAAAATACCTGAAATGACATAATTTTTTTTTAACTTACGAGAGGAGAAAAATACCAATGTACTTGCTTCATATGTGAGTGACACTCTTTAAATGTAGAATTATAATGATAGTAATAATAAAGCTTCCAAAATAATCAGTGTTTATCCTTCAAATACTTTAAAGACAAAATCTTCTATTAGCTTTAAGAAAATATTCTGCATAAAGGAAACAAGAAGAGGATCTAAGAGTCAGAATTGGGCTGAATTTTTTTTTTTTTTTTTAATAAACGTGTGAGAAGGAATGACTGATTAAACAGTCTCCCTCTGCTCATGACCAGGTTCCTTTGTGCCTGAAAACTCAAGGCATCAGATGCCACTAAGAAGGAGTAGCAGGTGGACTGCAAGAAAGGATAAAAATATTGCTATTGTTTCCTTGATGTAATCACACTTATTATTACTTTTTTCTTCTCATTTGTTGAGAGAAATGGGTGGTGGGGAGATGTATCTTAATTAAGACATAGCTGCACATAATTCTCAGCTAAATTCAGAACAAAACAATTCCACTTCACCCTCTGCTAAAAAAAAGGAATAATTTTTTGATAACCAAATAATGACAATAACTCTTCACGTTACCATTCTATCTTCTGACATTTAAAATGCAATCAGGGCCGTGGCTGGGTGGCTCAGTTGGTTGGAGCATCATCCCATGCACCAATAGGCTGCAGGTCCAATTCTCAGTTGGGATGCATACAGGAGGCAACTGATCTATATTTCTCTCTCATCTCTCTTCTCTCTCCTTCTCTCTTCTCTTTCCTCTTCTCTCTTCTCTCTCCTCTCTTCCCTCTCTCTCTCTTTCTCACCAATAAACATATCCTTGGATGAGAACTAAATAAATACATGAAATGAAATGAAATGAAATGAAATGAAATGAAATGAAATAGTGAAATGAAATGAAATGAAATGAAATGAAATGAAATGAAATAAGGTTTTTTTTCCCTTTCATCTTTAACTTTATGCAAGGTTTAGATTGTTTCAGAAGATTTTAAAGGTTTGGTTTTTTTTTTTTGCAGCCAGTTACACTCCCTCAAAGATGTTCTTTTCCTTGCACTCCTGCAAATCTGGTCCTTTCTTTTCTTTCTTTTGCTTGTTAATTGTTTTTGGGTTTTTTTGCCTCTGACTTGTTTCTCTGTATCATCAGCTCCACAATACACCCCTGGCCCTCTCCTCTGCCTGCTCACCCCAGGGACCACAGAGCAAACCTATTACTAACTAATGATACTACAAGGTGACCTCGTAGTATCTAATTTTAAATTTTAATGACTATTTTTTAAATAAATGCATAGAGGTTATAGAAAAAGTTCACAGCTGATAACAAAAAGTAATGGAAAAATAAAGTGAGAGCACAGAATGCTTGGAGACCCTTTCCTAAATGCAGTAAATACAGAGCCTCTCTGGTCATTGGCTAACAAAGGTCCACTGTAATGTGGCACTCTGCCTCTACTTCAACTAAAAGGTCAGTTAGTTGCTGAAGAACAGATGCTCCTTAAGATGACCCTTTCTGGTGATGACTATCCCAAAGACAGTTTCACAGAAAGTCCAAGTATGTAATCCCACTTTAACTTTTGTCACCCTTGTTGACCACATCGAGGCACAGCGCAGTCATCATTCAGCTATGGAATTTGAAAGCCAGAAGAGTTTCAATGATAAAAATCTTTCTTTTAATAAACCCAAAAAACGTGATAAATTTTCATATTTAAGTAACATTTCAGTTTAGTTTTTAAAATCGCCAGTGGAACAAATGCCCAGAAAACCATCCCTTCCATTTGCTTCTGTCTTTGTAGGTGGGCTCCACCTTCCCTTGGTACAATAATCCAAGATCTCTCCTCATATATCAAATGTCCATTTCAGCCTCATCTGCCTAGTCAAATAGGAAAAATTCTACACAGAGCTGTATTTCCTACATTATCTTCTAACTACCTATATAGACATGGATTTGTAACTTATCCCACTATAAAGTGGTAGATTTGCAAACCTAATTCCAGGGCCTGGAACAGTGTCTGGCACATTGCAGAAGCTTACACACCAATGCTGAATAAATGCATGGGCTCATTAATTCTATCCACCAAGCAACTTCACATTGATCTGTCTCCCTTCTCATGCACCTTCAATATTCAAATGCATGAAAAGTATGAGGCTTCTTTGCAAATCTAAGAAGCTCTCTGAAGAAGAAGGGAATATACACACATCAGCCAGCTATATGCCTCATCTGACAACAAATCTTTTGGTGTAAGTGCTATAACCTCCCCAATGTCTATAAAGACACAGATGCCATAGGCCTTTTATCTAAAGATAATCAAAGAAGTTTTGCAATAGTCTGAAATTACACAGAAACTTTACACTATTCCCCTTCTGTAGAGCCATGATCCACATCCTCTTCCCCATAATCCCAAAGTAGGCACCCTGAAGACCCCTTGGGAAAGTGTAGTCATCCCAACAGGTCCAATGGTCACCAGGTTATGGAATATTCCTAGGAATAACAGGCAGAGCCCCTGCACCTGTTTTTGAAGGTGTGCTCAATGAGTTATTCAGTACACCTATATAGAAAGTGTAATAAGGTCGCTTGGGCCATATTTCTGGTTCTACTTAGAAAATAAAAACAATTACTACTGTCTGGAATGTAGTGATGTGTGCCCAAGGTGTTTACATGATGAGTTAACATTCACTACACAACACTAGTAGCAAAAGATGCCAAAGCTGTCCTGCACCGTTAGGTTCACTGGCTTGCAGGTGATTGTACAAATGACACTCAGAACTAACGTGATCTGACTCAGTCACTAACCCATAAGGTTGTTCTGATCTTGCTCCACACAACTTTTCTCTATCTACAGCTAAAGTTTGACTTCTGTCTACAAAATCAGTCCCAGGAACTAGATTGTTCTCCTTCCTACACAGGATTTAAGCCCTATTGTACAGATGACAAAACTGAGGCCCAGAGCAGCTCAGTTCAATATCTAAGGTCAAAGAGTTCTAGAAATCCAGTATCCAGACTTCCAGTCCAATATAACCAAAAATTGGGTGGGGACTCCATTCAAAATATTAATCCTAGAAATAGATGCATATTCATGTACATACAGTATAATCACAATATTAATCTTTATGGAATAACATAAAAATGAAAAGTGTAAGAGAGAAGATTGAGAAACAAAACTGGATTAAAATACACCAAAATATTAGGTGCAATGAATGACTTTTTAAATTTTCCTCTCAATATATGTCTGTATTTTCCAAATTTTCTGCAAAAAACATTACTAGTTTTAAAACATAAAAAAAGAAAATACATGTTCTAGAATATTCAAATCTGCTTACACTAGAAGTCATCGGCATTGATGAAAACTCATTAATAGGTAGGAAAAGATGAAAAATGATAGGAACTTAAAGCAACATACTTACCCACCAACTGTGGGAGAGAAGAAGCCTCCCTGTCAAGCATGATGGATCCTTTCTCCATACACGTCCTCAGCTCAAATAAGCTGTGAAGGGATAATGTGGCCACATGGGGCTTGCTCCATCTCTCCCCACCCGCTTCCACTTTTTCTTCAAACTTAATCCACCTAGGAACATGAGATGGTAAATAGCAATTAAAAGTGTTCTAACAACCTTGGAAATGGCAACATCAACCCCTCCATTTCCACCCCCATCAGCACTACTAAAATGTCTCCTTTCCCAGAGTCTTAAAACCTTATTATATCGTTAATTGTGATGGGCATGGGGGGGGGGGGAGCGGGGAGGGGGTATTAACCAGGGAATTTATATGCCTAGCCCATTGACACAAACAATAGTGTGTTGAAGGCTTAGGAGGGGCAGAAACGGAGTTGATGAAGTCAATGGGGAAAAAACTGAGGACATCTGTAATACTTTCAACAATAAAGATAAATTTAATAAATAAATACACCAAAGAGAGTCAGTAGTCTGCACCTTCTCCTAATGAGAGAAAGAAGGAAAAAAAAAAAAAGGAACTAAAGGGTTTTTTTTTATTTGTTTGTTTTAATATATTTTATTGGGGGTTTTTTTCATACAGGGAGAGGGATAGAGAGCTAGAAACATCAATCAGCTGCCTCCAGCACACCTCCTACTGGGGATGTGCTGCAAACAAGGTACATGCCCTTGACCAAAATGGAACCTGCGACCTTTCAATCCACAGGCTGATGCTCTATCCACTGAGCCAAACCATTTAGGGCGGAAACAAAGGTTTTATATCTGTCTATCAGTAACCACAAAATCCTTTAGAATGATTTAACTAAAATTTTAAAAATAAGGTAGAAAAATATGCCTTGCAGAATTACCCATGTAGGTAGAGCCTACCTGGGTAAAAATAGTCACCACTGTGTGAATTCACAAGGTCAATATATAGAAGGTGAAATATCAGATATAAAAAATATTTATCTTAAATATTTGAAAAACATGGTATAAAGTGGCCACATGAATATAAAGCTCCCCTTTAATGCCTAAAGAGGATGAGCATGTGTAGCTATGTCTTACTTTCATATATATTTCTCTGTAGGCCTATGTTCCCTCCTTAAAATCTGGCTTCACGTGTGTTTAAAAATACACAAGCTCAGCGAACAACACATCTTCTTGTAACTGATCTATTAACCTTAGCAATGGAGCAAACAACTCTTTCAGAGCTGCTTTTTTCTGAGACTCCTGGACATTTGATAGCTTAGTAATATAGATCAAAAAGTTTAATGGAAATGAGAGCATGCCGAAACCGGTTTTGCTCAGTGGTAGAGCGTCGGTCTGCGGACTGAAAGGTCCCGGGTTCGATTCCGGTCAGGGGCATGTACGTTAGTTGCGGGCACTTCCCCAGTGGGGGGTGTGCAAGAGGCAGCTGGTTGATGTTTCTCTCTCATCGACGTTTCTATCTCTCTATCTCTATCTCTCTCCCTTCCTCTCTGTAAAAAATCAATAAAATATATTTTAAAAAAAAGAAAAGAAAAAAAGAAATGAGAGCAAAACCCACTTGACAGTTCTTATGTCCCACACATTACACATACAGACTCTTCATACACTGGTTAAAAATACACATTAAAGAAGAAAAAAGGAAAGCATTATCATTTTGCTATTCAGCATGATCCAAAGAAAAATGCTTTTTTCCTCTCACTTCAAACCTTCTAAAAGATATTGAAAAAGATCAACAGGGGGGTATAAAAAATTGTTTTTCTACATTCTTCACTCAAAGGTTTAATGATTGAAAAATGTTTACCTAGAAAAGCTAAACACCCACTAAACACGAGAACAAAGGGCAGAGATCAGAGGAAGCTCTACATACGATATTATTTATAGACCGCTCACCACCCCCAGAGGAGGGGAAAAACACATTAGCAGAGCCAGGAGGGAAGAGAGATAGAGAGGTCAGCCAGCGTCGTAGAAAATTTAGAATTTTAAGTAAGCCTAACACTCATGTGATTCAGTAGTTTATCCATATTTAAAAAGTTCCCTCCATTACCCCTCTCAGGAAGCCTCTCCCACTCAATAAACTCCCACTTGTCAATGGCAACCTTATTCCTAACCTCACTCTTAATTCTAAGACCCCCCTCCTTCCCCCTGAATCCCAAAATATGTAGGCAGTGGAGACTTTTTACAGGCTTTCCTCACAAGTTAAAAAACAAACAGCACCACCAAAGCTTTAAACCTTTATAACTGGGCCTCGTTTATCTCTACAAAGTGATTGCAAAACATCCCAAGAGAAAACCAAAGACCCTTAATATTCTTGTGTGTGTGTGTGTGTGTGTGTGTGTGTGTAATTTAGTTCTTCACTATTAGAACCACAGAAATAAAGCAATGACAATTTTACATCACACTCATAATCTGCCAAAACGATAAAAGGTAATTGGGGTTATTTTGAGAGTAATCATTTTATGGAGCATATTACATTGGTTAGATTTAGGTGTATTATCTTTTCATGCTTGGTGACAGAATCTCTCACCATGTTTGTTGGCAACTACTATGTGAATCACATTTACATTTGATGTTATAGGTTATTGTTCAAGATAAGACTCTAGAGGTTAGAAGATTATATAGTATATAAAACCAAGACAGAATCACATAAAATTATGTCATCTTTAAAGACTGTAGTGACTCCTTATTTTTATTCCTAAGAGTATTCTTATTAGTTGAGGAATAGAATGTTTGGCCATAGAATTTAAGCTCAAGATGAATGACAAGAGTCAGCTAGAAACTCAGTGAAGGGAAGTGTTTTATACAGCCTTCAATTCTGGCTAATCTTTATTAAATGAGTCTCCCTTTTTATCATCTGCCATAAATTTATATTGCCAAAACCATTTCTTGAGAGAAAACTAAGCCTCACTTATACACAGCATGTGACAGTGGCTCTATTTTATTATATTTAAACAGTATAAGTTTAATTTTTTAAAAATTTAAAGGAGTGAAACCTCTATTATTCTGTGATTGATTTTTTATTTCATTCCTCTCCATAGTGTACATTATAGGAACCACACTGGACTTCAATATGACTTTGAACAAGTTTTTAAAGTATATTTAGAAATCATAAATCTTAGCTAGCTTGGATTTATGGAATAGCATTACTCACCTTCCCAGAGGACAGTAAGTCAAGATATAACAATCCTGTATAATAAAACCCTAATGTGCAAATCAACCAATGACTGGCAGAACAAATCAATAGAATGACTGGCAGAACAACCAGTCGCTATGATGAGCACTGACCACCAGGGGGCAGATGTTCAACGCAGGAGCAGTCCCCTGGTGGCCAGTGTGCTCCCACAGGGAGAGCACTGCTCAGCCAGAAGCCGGGTTCACGGCTGGTGAGCGCAGGTGGCATTAGGCCTAAGCCAGCAGTTGGACATCCCCTGAGGAGTTCTGTACTGCAAGAGGGCACAGGCCAGGCTGAGGGACCACTCCCCAAAGTGCACGAATGTTGTACACCGGGCTTCTAGTAGAGGAATGAAATGCAGTCTCAAACTAGCCAGCTCCTTGGAATCCAGATTCTCAGGGGATAAGTATTATCTCATAGCTCAGTTTAGCATCTATTTCATTTTGAATTCAGTAAATATTGAATGTTGTGATGATGTCATATCCTAGTATAGCTAACAGCATAAGGGAAACTCTGAAATAAGGACTATTAAATTCCTTTAAAATGTATTGCTCTAATTGTTCAAGGAATTGATTGTTCAAGGTACTTCCAATGTATGCTTTCAGGCATCAACTAAGTTTGCCATTTAAACAGACTATTTGCAGGGAGTTTCATTCTAGGAACTACAAATCCTATCTCCATCCTCCTCACGTACCAAGGACAAATTTGAAAAGAAAAAAAAAAAATACTGAAAACTACTCAACTCAAATAGAACCCATTAAGGAAAAGGCTAAGGCCAAGGTACCAAAGTTCAGCCAATGGATTTGTGAAGGTGCTTCAGAACCATGTAATTACAATGGTAAAAAATAGATGTTCTTCCTGTTAAATGTACTAAAAGCCACCATCTACCCTTCATAATAGCTATGAATAACCATGTATCTACAATAAGTTTCTCACTTTTTTTTCTGCCTAGTACTTGACATGTCATAGGAAAATTATTTTTCAGAAGTTGGCTTCTTAAATGCTTGCAATTACCAAACTGTTGTAACCTTGGAAGAGGAGTTTATTAGGTGAAGTTTATTTATTCCAAGGTCTTAGGAGAACAATGATAAAGCACACTGCAGTTTAACACACTCTGAGTGACTGCCAAACAACAGGACTCAACTGATTTGGTGAAGAAATAGAAAACTCACTGGGAATCGCTGAATTTTGCAATTTTCCAATCATATGATTGAATATAATTAAGAAAAGACAAGACCTCTAACTTTAAAATATTCCAGTTTTACTGTGGAAAATTGACATGACCTTTGCCCTAGATTATAGTCCAACTTCATAAAACTATTAAAATGATAATAAAATTTCTTGCTAACTAGTAATTGCCTCATCACATAAAAAAATAAATAAAAATAAAAAGCCAGTGCTAGTGTGTATCTGGGAAAGATGTTGTTTTTAAGGAGAATGCTTAAATTTCTAGAATAATTGTGAAAGTTGTTGCAAAAGTTCTATGCAAAGCCAAAACCGGTTTGGCTCAATGGATAGAGCGTCAGCCTGCGGACTGAAGAGTCCCAGGTTCAATTCCGGTCAAGGCCATGTACCTTGGTTGCGGGCACATCCCCAGTAGGGGGTGTGCAGGAGGCAGCTGATGGATGTTTCTCTCTCATTGATGTTTCTAACTCTCTATCCCTCTCTCTTCCTCTCTGTAAAAAATCAATAATATATATATATATATATATATATATATATATATATATATATATATAGTTCTATGTGTGTTGTTATAAAAGTTATGTGTATATATAAAGGTATATAAAGGTATACTTATGAATATTTATATAAAATTATCTGTATGTTGTAACTACATCGAATTATAAAGTGATTAAATTCCCTTTCATTCAGTCTTTTTCTTACAGAAACAATAAACTTGGTCTCAAATGGAATTTTCCAAAGAGAAGTCAATGTCTGTTGGAAAGGGAGTGGTTTCTCTCCACAGTCCCAGGAGCA